TCCTTCCACCCTTTTCCCTCCCTCCCTCTCCTTCCTCCCCTCCTCCACCTCCTTCCTCCCTCCCTCTTCTATTTCTTCCTTCCCCTCTCCTTCCTTCCTCCCTCTTCTATTTCTTCTTCCTTCCTTCCCCCCTCTCCTTCTTCCCTCCTTCCACCCTTTTTCCTCCCTCCCTCTACTTCCTTCCTCCCTCCCTCCCTCGCCTGCCCCCCAAACTGACTTACTCGTTGTGGGTCTCTTCGGGCGACGTCTCCCTCTTGCCCTCTCCGGGAGTCCAGTCTTCCCCTTGGCCTTTGTCCTCCGCTTCCCCTTCTTCCTTCTGGGTGGCCGATTCCCCGTTCACGGGCGCTGGGAGATCTGGAAGAGCAACAGGCCTTCTCACACCAGCGGAAAAGGGGAAAGCCGGCAAAGGGCACAAGCAAAGGGCACTGGATTTCTCTTCCCCCCCCCTTGGGAATCCTGGGCTGCTTCTCAGGAATGGGGTTCTCTTGGGACACACACACCCCCCACCGAGAGGGGAAGCCAACAGTGCAAATCCCGCTAGTCTCACAGCTTTCAGAATCGATAGTGGACCGGGCCGAAATTTCCTGGAATCTTTGGATTTCGACTCCTGCCTCGGAAAGGGCCTTACCAGGATCCTTCTCCTCCTCCTCCTCCTCCTCGCCCCGCTCGTTCTCCGCTTCCCCGGCTGGCAGCTTCTCCTTGTCTTTGCCCCCTTCCTCCTTCTCCACGTCCGCCCTGTGCACCTTCTGGTTGCCCCCAGTTTTGGGGCCCAGGACGCGGGACTTCAGGCAGGTGTAGACTTCGGCCGCCTTTTCCATCACATCCTTGTTGGCTTTGTAACGTCGGATCTGATGATAACCGAACGAAGAAGAAGAAGGAAAAAGAAAAAAGAAAAGTTCAGCCTGGGAGGGTCTGGAAGGGCAGCTCCAAAGGGCTCCCAAGAGGGCAGCTATCTGAACCCTTCAGGCTCCTGGAACTAAGGAGAAAATTTCCTAACAGCGAGAACAATTAACCAGTGGAACTACCTGCCTCCAGAAGCGGTGAATGCTCCAACACTGGAAGTTTTTAAGAAGAGACTGGACAGCCATTTGTCTGAAATGGTATAGGGTTTCCTGCCTGAGCAGGGGGTTGGACTAGAAGACCTCCATGGTCCCTTCCAACTCTATTCTATTCTATTCTATTCTATTCTATTCTATTCTATTCTATTCTATTCTATTCTATTCTATTCTATTCTATTCTGTTCTGTTCTATTCTATTCTATTCTATTATTATGTTATTCTATTCTATTCTTATTTTGTTATTCTATTCTATTCTATTATTTTGTTATTCTATTCTATTCTATTATTATGTTATTCTATTCTATTCTTATTTTGTTATTCTATTCTACTCTTATTTTGTTATTCTATTCTATTTTCTATTCTATTCTATTCTATTTTGTTGTTCTATTCTATTCTATTCTATTATTTTGTTATTCTATTCTATTCTATTTTCTATTCAATTCTATTCTATTCTATTTCATTTAT